CCCCCCCCCCCCCCCCCCCCCCCCCGACTCCACTTTGTAGCCCTAGGAATGTTCCCTCCCTCTGCGAATCTAACACACTACTGTGGTCTTTTTTTCCTTCCTTCTTTCTCTCTTAGCTCCCACTTATGAGTGAGTACATGCGGTATTTATCCCTCTGTGCTTTGCTTATTTCACTCAACATAAGTTTCTCCAGGCTCATCCATGTTGTTGCAAATGGGAGTAGTTCATTCTTTTTTATGGCAGAGTAGTATTCCACAGTTTTCTTATTGAATCATCCATTGATGGACATTTAGGTTGGTTCCATGTCTTGACTATTGTAAACAGAGCTGTGATGAACATGGGAGTGCAGGTATCTCTTCAACACGATGATTTCCATTCCTCTGGGTATATACCCAGAAGAGGGATTTCTGGATCGTATGGAAGATCGATCTGTAGTTGTTTGAGAAAATATTGAGGTATGATTTAGATATGATAAGATGCACAGACCTTAGATGTAAAGTTTGATGAGTTTTGTCAAGTGTAAATACCTGTGTCACTACGGCCCCATTCAATATATAGAACAGCCATCTCCTCAGAATGTTCCCTCATGCACATTCCTAGTCAGTCCCTCAACCCCTCACCCCAAAGTTTCTCATTTCTTCCACACTATATTAGTTTTGCTGGATCGTGGATTTCAAATAAACGTACTCATACGCTATACTCTTTTGTGTCGTTTCATTCACTCAACATAATGCTTTTGAGGTTTATCCACGTTCTTGTGTGTGTCAGTAATTCCCTTCTTATTGCTGAGCAGTATTCCACTGTATGGCTATACATAATTTATCCATCCTCCTGTTAATGTAAATTTGGGTTGTTTGAGATTTGGGGCTATTATGAATAAAGCTTTAATAACCATTCTTGTGCAGGTCCTGTGTGTGTGCATGTGTGTGCAGATGTACATATGTTTATTTCTCTTGGGTAAATATATAGAAGTAGAATTGCTGAGTCACAGTGTAGTTACATGCTTCACTTTATGAAAAACTTCCAAATGGTTTTCTAAAGTGGTTGACCTGTTTGTATGCCCACCAGCAATGTATGAGGGTTCCAGTTACTCCACATTTTCATCCATTCTTGGTCATGTCAACCTTTCCATTTTAGTCCATTCTAGTGGGTATGAAGTGGTATCTCATTTTGATTTTAATTTGCATTTTTCTAGTGACTAATAATGTTGAGTATCTTTTCATGCACTTTTGACCATTTTTATGTCTTCTTTTGTGAAGTGTGTGTTCAAGTCTTTTGCCTATTCTTTATGGGGTAGTTTGTGATTTTGTTATTGACTTGTGTTTTTAAATATATTCTCTATATAAGTCTTACAGAAAGAATTGTGAATATTTTCTCACAGTCAGTGGATAACAGTATGGAGGTTTCTCAAAAAACTACAGAGAGAACTATCATATGATCCAGCAATCCCACTACTGGATATGTATCCAAAGGAAAGGAAATCAGCATGTCAAGGGATATCTGCACTGCCATGTTTATTGTGGCTCTATTCACAGTAGTTCTATTCACAGTAGCCACAATATGGAACCAACCTAAATATCCATCAGCAGGTGACTAAATAAAGAAAATGTGGCATGTATACACATTGGAATACTACTCAGCCATAAAAAATAATGAAATTCTGCCTTTGTGATTTTAACAGTGTCTTTTCATTAGCAGAAAAATATAATTTTGATGAAGTACAATTTATCAATTTTTTATTTTATAACTAGTGTAGTGTTTTTATTTCCTAATTTTATTTTCTAAATTTGTGTGGGTATATTGAATTACAGCTGAATTTTGTATGTTGATCCACAGACCTTGCTAAATTCACTTATTATGGTTTATCTGTAGATGATTTTGGATTTTGTATATACATAATTAAGTCATTTGCAGATATAACGATAGTTTGATTCTTTTTTAATCCTTATACCTTTTATTTCTTATTCTTTCTTGCTTGGGCTAGACCTTCAGTACAATGTTCATTGGCAGGGATGACAG